AGTATAATCTGGTATCAGTACAACCTCTACTGGTACCAACTGTTACTCATCAAATATCTGTAGACTTTCAACTGGTATCAGTTGGTAACCGTCGATATCAGTTAAAATCAGTTAATATCAGTTCATTTCCGCTACTGATTATAACTGATATCAACCTATCATTTTTACCAGGGTCCATAAAGCTGACGTACTGCGCGTGAAAGTTTGGATCCGTGGCAAAGCGGCGTTCTAATGACGCAAACTGACTTTGAGCTTGGGTCCGGGAAGAGCCCAACTCTGGATGATTCGGTTTAAAGGGCAAGCGAACCATATAGCGCCAATTCGACTGCTGGACCGTAGTTTCAGCGTAGATTTTTTCGGCAAGTTCTTCGTCGATGGATAGTCGTTTGGAAGTAGGGACCTCTTCGAGTTCCCAGAAGCGTTCCAACTTATCGCAGAAGCTGTTATGTGTCAGGACGTGCAACAGCGGCGGAGCTCTCACGGTTTGCGGGTTCGCAGCTTGTGGACCCTCTAAGAATTACGCCGAAGACAGTCTTCAGGCCCTTAGGAGCAGATGATCCAAAACTGAAGTTCTGACCATTGAGGATACGAGGAAAGAGATCGGCACCCAAAAGCCCATCCACCTCACCCGGATCTGCAAATGCGTCGTCAGCAAGCGGAACCTTGGAGACAGCAACGCGTACTTCCTTGGATAAGGGGAGAGAGGGTACTGAGCTGGTAATTCGCTTAACCACGTAGACTGGGTTGCCATAAAATGCGACTTTTCGATCTCTAGAATGAATGTTAATCTTCACCACTCCATCCACCGGAACTGCAGTTTGACCTAGGCCTGTGACGGAGGAAGCGCACTTTGCAGGTTTGAGACGCAAATGCGCGCAGCATTTGCGCCTCAAACCTGCAAAGTGCGCTTCCTTTGCGCTGCGCGCAGCAGCGCGAAGTGAGGTAGGAGTCTGAGGCCCGAGAATCGATGATGAATCTCTCCATAAGGGTTTCCCCCGTGAGGGGCGATGAAATGATGAATTTAGCTGTAGGAATAACATCTGTTACGCTACCCGACTGACCAGTGCAGACAAGAGAGTGATTCTCTCCTGTTTTAGCTTCAGAGGAAGAAGGAGAAGCCGAGGATGCGTGCGCTTCGTGTAAGACAGTGTGGTGCCCTGCATGATACTTAAAACACCTCTTTTAAGACAAGCACGAATGCTTTGAATGTGTCCCCAAACAATTCTGGCACCTTTTCTGCTCAGCGACATTCCTCTGCCTTTCGGCTGGCGACATTTTGTTGAAGTCTTCACAATTGAATACTGAATGTGGTGTGTCACACCAGGGACAAAGTATAATTTGGGCCAGGGCTTGGACCCTCTGCCTGCTGCGGTCGATGTCGATGGAGAAATTTTCGCTGGACTTTGAGAGGATGGTGGCGCCGCGACTCTAAGAGTCTGCTTGGAATCTGCAGGCTTCTTCTTGCTGCTGGCGTCAGGTTTTATAGGAGATGGCGAATACTTTGGTTTATCTCCAGCCACGACCAAAACATTCGAAGTTTTCTCGTTCTTCTTCTCTTGCTGAGGAGGAGAGTCGAAAATGAGTGAGCACTCAACTTTGAGGAAATTATTCATTTCCTCCAGAGTGGGATAGTTCGTTGGTTCGTCTCGAAAGTCATCCAAACGCCAGCGGAAGTAGTTCGATAACTTGTCGTGCAGGACCGTGACCAGCATGAGTCCATACATAGTGTCTGGAATCTTAAGAGCGGCCAATGCATGCATATTTGCTGTTTGCACCTTCGTTAAGAACTGCGGCAATCCATTGCTGTCCTTTACGGCGGGTATATCGAGCAGGCCCTAACAATTATGAAAAATATGACGCTTTTCGGTTTGATACGCCACCTCATAGTTGGCATCCGTGAGTGGCAACGATTGTACCAGGTTCAATGATTCACCTTTGAGGAGAGTGAGCAGGTAAGAAAATTTGGTTGCAGGCGTAATTGTCTGATCCTCATGGATGTTCGCATTGAGTAGATTGATAAACGGATGCCAGCCGTCTAGATCTGGGAGAAAAAGGCCTGGTACGGGTGGTCTGAAACACCCTGTATACAGGGTCTTCCAGAAGTCTGTACCCCTCTCTCCCTGGTAACTTTTGAACGGTTGAAGATAGAAAAACGAAACTTTGGGAATGTTTCTATCTCAAAAGGGACCATCTTCTAGGGGGCTCAAAATTTTTGCCCCTCCCTCAGGAAAGGCGGGGGGCCCCCCAACTTTTTTTCAAATGGTAACCACCATCTTGTGATACATCGTTGGAAAAAGCATTAAATACTAAGAATTTTCGCGCAAACCGCACATCAATATCTGAATTTTTGACAGAGTTATGATAGGTCAAAGGTCAAATTTGACCGATTTTAAAAAAATCATACCCGGTTCAAATTATCGTAGAGAAAAAAATAAACCGGGAAAATTCAGCAAATTGTAAGCACTTTTAAGTCAAAATTATAGCAATCATCGCAAAATAATTTTAAGGGGGATTCGGACCCCCAAATACGTCAGTTCAAAGGTCATACGATTTTCTCGCTAAATGAACCACTTTCTCCTACCTTAACCTCAACTAATCTCGGTAAGTTCAAAATTAGTTCAACATTGCGTTTTCAAGTCCCCAAATTTCGAGCAGAAGTTTAAAAAAAATGACACTTGGACGGTCAAATTTAATCACCTTGTTTATCTTTTTTTTAAAAATCTGCTCAAAATTTGGGGACTTGAAAACGCAATGTTGAACTAACTTTCAACTTTTCGAGATAAGTTGAGGTTAAGTTAGGGAAAATTGGTTCATGTAGCGGGAAAATCGTATGACCTTTGAACTGGCGTATTTGGGGGTCCGAATCCCCCCTTAAAATTAGTTTGCGATGATTTCTTTAATTTTTACTTAAAAGTTCTATCAATTTGCTAAATTTTCCAGTTTTAATTTTACTCTACGATACTTTGAACCGGTGATGATTTTTTAAAATAGGTTAAATTTGACCTTTGACCTATCATAAATAGGTCAAAAATTAAGATATTGATGTGCGGTTTGCGCGAAAATTCTTAGTTTTTAATGATTTTTCCAACGATGTATCACAAAATGGTGCTTACCATTTGAAAAAAAGTTGGGGGCCCCCGTTCCCCTGAGGGAGGGGCAAAAATTTTGAGCCCCCTAGAAAATGGTCCCCTTTGAGATAGAAATATTCCCAAAGTTTCGTTTTTCTATCTTCAACCGTCCAAAAGTTACCGGGGGGGGGGGGGGGTATGGAATTTTGGGACACCCCGTATAGTACACCCTGGAGGTACCTCGCTCCACCAACTGCCATAGAGCCATTAATAGCTAATCCACTAAAAAGAATAATGATATTTTTCAATTCTTGCATCCCGTCTTCGCAGGGGCCTCAGAGAGCTCTACAGTATACAGGGTGGCCCAAACCTACCGTACCAGGCCTTTTTTTCGGTTAATTTGTGTCGTACGAAGTCCAAGATCGCGGGGATGAATAGGGAATTGACCCCAAGGAATCCAAATTTCATGGTCCAAAAGGCCCCCTGGCGCTCCTTGGGGGGTAAAAGGGGGGTCCGTACTTCAAAAGTCAGGGTTTATGTCAAAATTTTGAAATTATTTCATCGGAATCAGAACGTACAGAAATTTTTAACTTAAATCGACACCAAGAAATCCAAAATCGGCCCATTCGTGTCCAAAATACCGACCCCTAAAGGTGGGGGACGGAGCCCCCTTTCAAAAAAATTCAAGTTCGTTAAATTGACATGGAGACTCGGAAAAATGTGTATTCATAGGTAATCAACCCCAAGGAATCCAAATTTGAGGGTCCCGTTGTCCTCAGAAACTTTTCTGATGGGGCACAGGGGGTCTCTGAACTTTTAAATTCAACCGGTGTGGAGGTTATACCCCTGTGCCCCACCAGAAATGTCTCTGAGGACAACGGGACCCTCAAATTTGGATTCCTTGGGGTTGATTACCTATGAATACACATTTTTTCGAGTCTCCTCGTCAATTTAACGAACTTGAATTTTTTTGAAAGGGGGCTCCGTCCCCCACCTTTAGGGGTCGGTATTTTGGACACGAATGGGCCGATTTTGGATTTCTTGGTGTCGATTTAAGTTAAAAATTTCCGTACGTTCTGATTCCGATGAAATAATTTCAAAATTTTGACATAAACCCTGACTTTTGAAGTACGGACCCCCCTTTAACCCCCAAGGGGTGCCAGGGGGCCTTTTGGACCGTGAAATTCGGATTCCTTGGGGTCAATATCCTATTCATCCCCGCGATCCTGGACTCCGTACGACACAAATTAACCGAAAAAAGGCCTGGTACGGTAGGTCTGGGCCACCCTGTATTTGGTTGGGGATTCCCACCCTCCCATACACGGGCCAGTCCGCCCCTGCATGTTAAATCAACATGATATTACGTTAAGTCAACGTGATGATCTCGTATAGGAACATGATACAGTCACGTTCATCCAACATGAGAATATCATTTTTCTTCAACATTTTTTATTATGTTCACTCGTTAGATCCTGTAATCGTGTAAATATCCGTTCATGATGCCAGTCACGCTAAATCAACCGTCCCCAAGGTTGACATAGTCATCTTTATTTTTGCGTGTAGGGGTGTTCAAACGAATTCTTGCCGGAACTCTTTCGATATCGTCTCTTATTGAAACTGGCGGCAGTACAGACGGTGGCGATGATATCGACAACAGCCGGCCTTATCGGATTTTTGAGAGCTCGCACTCAATGCATTGTTGCCCCTTGTGTCGGTTTATCAGATTGCCTGGCGCGGCGCATGAAATAGATGTACACATGGCAACAGCTTATTTTCGCCAGCTCCGAAAACTCTGATCGCTATCGGCAAGAGCGCTCTTATCGTAACTTTTTCTTAACGGAATAGTTTCGGTGGCGTACCGACAACCGATAGAACAGCCCTATTTGCGTGTACAAGTCTCAATGTAATTGGGTACTTTTGATAACGGCTCGCCGCGCCGCCTCGGAAACTAGCGGGCGAGCCTGATGACCTGCGAATCAGGAGCCATGTCCGGGATCCCACCTCAACAGTAGCGGGATGTGAACCAGTCGGGCAAGCGGCGCGGCATAGCGGCTCAGTGATGCCACTCCCTGCGTCCGAAGAGCGTGCTTCGAGTACGACCGCCAGATCCTCGCCGGTATCGACCATGCCACATCTCCGCTTCGGTGTTCCGGTCACCGTCGCCGCCTTCTGCGCCTTCTTCGCCCTCGCCCGAGCTGCTCCCACCCCTGCTCCAAACGAGCCTCACACCGCGGCTGACCCCGTGGTTTCCACCTCCAGCACCACCGATGATGTCCTTTACGACCAAAGGTAATACTAAATTCTCCAGTTTCGGCAATCCGTTCAGCTCACGGCCATCAATTGTTTACAAGCCGCAAGTAGCAGTGACGGTGAAAAATGGGGGGAGGGGGGGAGGACCCGTAGATTTTAATAGGAAAACTCTTTGAAAAACTGTTTACCTAACTTTATATTTGAGGAAAAGCTTTTTATGTATTTTTGTTAGCAAAACAGCGGACTGATCGTTGAGATTGATAGAAACTGCGATGGACAGACAAGGGGTTGTTTATTAATAGGTACGGCTCGTGATTATTCCGATTATTTGACACCCACCGGGTGGGTCCCACCCATCCCTTGATACGCGATCGTACCAGTAGACCAGGCATCCGCAAAATAATTTTGTAAAATTTGCCTTGAGTTGTCCCCCATTTTCACGAAGAAAGAACTCAGGATTTTCTCACCAATAACTGGGAAAGAGCATAGTCACTGAAAATTAAAATACTATTAATTTCAAAAGACAAGAAAGAATATGATAAAACAAAACTTTCTTATAAAACTTAAAAAGAGAGAGAAAGAAAAGTTGAAATTTAGCACGAATGTACCGTTACGTAATGCTGAATTTGACTCCCCCACCCCCTAATTGTCACGCTTTGTCTCAAAATCATGAAGTCCAAGGGGGAATATGATTGACCCAATCATTTAGGGAACTTTGGAAACTTTGACTTAAAACAAGCAAGTACATGATGAATACTTGACACTGTTAAAGTTTCATTAAATTGCATGCATTATTCGATCAGATATGAATTATTTCCTATCCGCCCATAAGGACACTGCACTGTGCATCGCACAGAATTTTTGGTATAAAATCCATGCTCCCGTGCCGACAAACCCATGAAACTGGTGTGAAGGACCGATTTTTGTGTAATAGCATAAGTAGCGCTGGGTATACCCTCCTACGTATTGCACTGTCCTCAAACTCCTCCTTTCTCTAGCAAGTTACGTAATCTTTGAACGGCCGCAGAATTTCAAATTATCGGCATTATTCGATATTTTAAAACCATAAAATCATGCATTTCCCTACTGTAGAAATAAATGGAATGGAAAAGGGATTAAAATATATGTAATTTAAATATCTCTATTCATGTAGTGGCCCTGAATTCCAGATGCCTTGATGAAGTGGCCTAGCGGGCCTTGTTATACATGCCAACCAGGTTTCCTGTTAAAATGTATACGTAGCCTTATTGGACTAAGTTTAAACTTTTAATGGACGTCTGTTGAATTTGTTGTTTGGATCAGTGGATGTTCAAAAGATGTCAGTTCATGCTGAACCGATATCAATTGAACCTCAGGTGATACGTAGCAAATTTCAACTGTTACCTATTGAGGCTCAACATATATCTATTGAGTAGGTATATCATCTGGTATCAGTTCAACCTCCACTAGTACCAACTGACACTCATCAAATATCTGTAGACTTTCAACTGGTATCAGATGGTATCAGTTCAACCTCTACTGGTACCAACTGAATCTCATCAAATATCGCTGTAGACTTTCAACTGGTATTTGTTGGTAACAGTCGATATCAGTTAATATCAGTTAAATCAGTTAATATAGTTCATTTTCTCTACTGATCTCAACTGATCATTTTTACCTACAAAATAGGGTAAGAGATGATAAATATTTTGTAAGGCAATGTTGGTGCCGATACCAAGGTCCTAAACACGATTTTTATCGACTTTTCAGTGATTTTTGTGAAATGTTTTAAATAATTTGGGAAGTACGCGAAAATTTGGCTTTCAATTTTCAGAGACTTTTCATAGTTGAAAAAGAAGCTTTTAAAGTTATTTGGCAATGGTCGCGTTTGGTACCATCTATGAGGCAACAGGAAGGTTAATAATCACATTATTGCTATCGAATTTTCAGCTATTTTCTCTTGCCTCCTGATATTGCCTCTGAAGTGGTACAAAACAATTATTACCGTTTAAATCTACTGTAGGTACCCAATATGGTCTCTAAGAATTGGAGGCTTAATTTTCCAGTCACCCCCCCCCCTCCCAAAATATCCGAAAGGAAGAGTAACGTTTTGGGCCTTTTCCGCCCTGCTAAAAATGACCATCTTGGTAACAAGTTGGTCTGGCCCAACATGGTAGGAACAGGGTAGATGGAACCTGCTATCACCATGATATCAACATGTTACCAATATGATATCACACACTGAAAAAAAAAGTTCCAAAATGCTTAAATGTAGGCACGCTGCACGTTCTTAGGCTTAATTTTCATCGCGGACACCAGAGAAGTGACGCTGTGAACCCCACAATCAATGTCCGCTAGAATTAAGCCGCGCTGCGCCCGAGTTTCCAAACGGTCACTCATCGAAGTACTAACTACGCCCGCCGTTGCTGAACTTCGGTAATCGCCCGAGTGTCGCTGCCACTCCGCCACGGACGCTCGCGTGGGGGAGGTGGCTAATTTAGCACTAATAAACGTCCTCAGATCTGGTTCAATGATTAGAAGCAATGATATTGTTGCAATTCTGTACATCATTCAGTTTCACAGTGAAGGATACGAAAATAATATTAAGTAGATCAAGTTTTTGAAAGAGAGGAGTACGAAAAACACACGAAAAAAATAAAATAAAATATGGACGGATAAATAGTTATTAAAAATGAAAATACCTATTAAAAACTAACTAAGATGGATAGATAATATAAATTAATGAAAAATGAATAATATTATATATTATAATGCATTATATTATATATTATATATTATATTTATTATCCTATATATTAAAATGCAAAGTTCCGAATCTTGGGGCATTAACTTTGAGAGAACCACCGGACCGATTTGCGTGATCTTTTTCTTAAATGAAAGCCCCTGAGCTGTAGATTTGCAGGCTGTGATCGTTTTTTCGATTTTCTCAAATTTTCTCCCATAATTTTCTCAAATTTTCTTCGATGCATTAAAACGGAGGTCCGAATCTTTGGACGTTAACTTTGAGAGAACCACCGGACCGATTTGCATGATTTTTGTTTTAAATGAAAGCCTGTGATCTGTAGATTTGCAGACTGTGATCGTTTTTTCGATTTTCTCAAATTGTCTTACTTTTATCGACGAGTGAAGTTTAGCTGGGCTCAAATTTTCTCCCATTTATTCAGACTAAAGTCCGCATTTTGGGACATTAACTTTGAGAGAACCACCGGACCGATTTGCATGGGGTTTTTTTTAAATGAAAGCTTCTGATCTGTAGATTTGCAGGCTGTAATTGTTTTTTCGATTTTCTCAAATTTTCTTACTTTTATCGACGAGTAAAGTTCAGCTGTTTCGAGCGGTCATCTGGCCGCTACCTGCTTGCCCGTCCCTAGATACCCCCACTAGGGTCTCAGCCACCCCTCCCACCACGTTCTTTCGGCTATCTCCGTTTTCTTTCGTATAGCTTTCCTCCCACCAACCTCAAAGAAGGTTTGGGTCGCATTGTCGTTCGTCACTCACCACCCACATTCCGTCGCAATCTCTCGGCTACTCCGCTTCACCACTTCTTGATAGGCATCCTGGCGGTTTGACTGACCCTGACTTATTAACTGCAGCGGTGCGCACACGTATTGCTAACAACATGTATTGTTATGGACATTTCATTCTTATTTGTTCTTTTCTCTTTCCAACTTTGTTTCAAATTTGCTTGATACTTCGTTTCTTCCTCTCTCTTTATTTTGTTGGTCGGTCGACTACGTTGATCGGCTTTTTGCTATTGAAAGCACATTAAGACTTCATGGATTTTCAATATCATCATTTGATCTTCCGGAATTGCTTCCAATTAACCTGAATCTTCAAGGGTCGGAGCCTGACTCTCCTCCCCCTAAAACTATGATTCCATGATTTCTGCCGCTAACCCAGAGCAACATCAAATTATTTCTGAAATAATTAGTCTCATCCAAAATCCATCTTACACGTGTAATGCGATTTTCATTGATGGTCCAGGAGGATCGGGAAAAACTTTCGTTTAAGAATGTCTTACTGCGTATTGTACAAAGGAAAACTTAGACGTCATCTCCGTTGCTTGGACAGGTATCGCCGCATCGTTGCTACCTAACGGTCGGCCGGTTCATAGCAAATTCAAAATTCCTTCGGTTCTGAATGAGAATTCTGTGTCGAGTCTGACGGTTAGCTCAAGAGAGGCTGAGACTATTCGGAAAACAACGATCATTTTTTGGGGTGAAGCTCCCATGGTTATCACGCATGCTCTGGCATGCATCGACCGACTTCTTAGAGAATGGGTAATGATATCCCTTTTCGAGGAAAAATTGTCGTCTAGGGTGGTGATTTTAGACAGGTTTTACCCGTTGTTCCGCATGCTTCTCGCCAAACATTGGTGCAAAATGCAATCAAATTCTCACCACTTTGACCTCTTTTCAAAATCAGAAAACTTACTCAAAATATGAGAACTTTGCAAGACGAAGCGGAGTTTGCAAAATTTTAACTCGAAATAGGTGATGGTGTTTACCTTTCTGCTAAAAAAGGCCATGCCGGAATTCATTGATTTACCGACAAGCAGTATTACTGAAACTGATATTATTACTGAAATTTATGGAAAAGATAGCTTCCTCATGTTCGAACGTAGATTTCACAAACTGCGCAATTCTGGCCCCTAAAAATAAGCATTGCAATGAAATTAACGACAAGGTTGTTGAAGTTCTTTCAGGTGTCTCTAAAACGTACTTCAGTGTTAACAGGCTCATTGTAGAGGAAGAGGGAGAGGCTCTCAATTTTCCCCTCGAATTCTTGGACAGTCTTAATCTTAGTGGCTTACCACCGCATAAACTCACACTTTTGGAGGGGGTTTTTGTCATGCTTTTAAGAAACCTCAACGTTTCTAAAGGTTTATCGAATGGTACCCGATTGATCGTCTGGAAACGTTATGAAAATTGTCTTGATTTGCAGGTCATTTCCGGCGAGAAGGCCGGTGAAAGAATTTCACTGCCAAGAATTGATTTGTCACCTGCAGACTCCTCTCTCCCTTTCTCTTTTAAGAGGCGACAATTTCCAATTCGCATTGCGTTCTGCATGACCATCATCAAAGCTAAGGGTCAAACACTGAAGCGAGTCGGCATTTATTTACCCCAAACAGTTTTTGGCCATGGTAAACTATATGTTGCACTCTCACGAGCTACATCGTACAAAAATTTTGAAGTCCAAATTCTTCCCAAAGGCAACCGTACAAAAAACATCGTGCACAAAGAGGTGCTTCGATCTTTTATAAATCCCAAAAGCCTCATAGTCATTAGAAAATTATCAAAAAATAAAAATAAAAAAAAATTTAAACAGTAACAAAAAAAAAAGAAAAATTAATAATGCGAGCTTTTTATAACATTTTTCGGTAGAATGGCAGTCTACACCCTGTAACGCAGAGAGGCAGTTAAATTCCTTGATCTTCTGCCGCAGAATCATCATCATTATTAAATAGATTCAACTAATCGCTCCGATTCCAAATAAGCTACTGCACCACCATTGCTAGCTGTGGAGGGCGCCCGTAGGGCGCCCGGAGCAGCTAGTCTTATATATTAAAATGCAAAGTTCCGAATCTTTGGGCGTTAACTTTGAGAGAACCACCGGACCGATTTGCCTGATCTTTTTTTTAAATGAAAGCCCCTGAGCTTTAGATTTGCAGGCTGTAATTTATTTTTCGATTTTTTCAGATTTTCTCCTATAATTTTCTTAAATTTTCTCCAATGTATTAAAACGGAGGTTCGAATCTTTGGACGTTAATTTTGAGAGAACCACCGGACCGATTTGCATGATTTTTGTTTTAAATGAAAGCCTCTGATCTGTAGATTTGCAGGCTGTGGTCGTTTTTTCGGTTTTCTCAAATTTTCTTACTTTTATCGACGAGTGAAGTTTAGCTGGGCTCGAATTTCCTCCCATTAATTCAGACTTAAGTCCGAATTTTGGGACATTAACTTTGAAAGAACCACCGGACCGATTTGCATGGGTTTTTTTTAAATGAAAGCTTCAGATCTATAGATTTGCAGGCTGTAATTGTTTTTTCGATTTTCTCAAATTTTCTTTCTTTTATCGACGAGTAAAGTTCAGCTGTTTCGAGCGATCGTCCGGCCGCTATCTGCTTGCCCGTCCCTAGGTACCTCCCCCCCCCCTCTACGGTCTCAGCCAACCCTTCCGCCACATTCTTTCGGCAATCTCCGTTTTATTTCGTATAGCTCTCCTCCCACCAACCTCAAAGAAGGAGGTTTGGGTCGCATCGTCGTTCGTCACTCGCCACTCACATTCCTTCGCAATCCCTCGGCTGCTCCGCTTCACAGCTTCTTGACATCCTGGCATCTTATTCTTTGCGGCTTGACTGACCCTGACTTATTAACTGCAGTATTGCGTATTGCTAGCAACACGTATTGTTACAGACATTTTATTCATCATTTTTAAATAAATTCAACTAATTGCTCCGATTCCAAATAAGCTACTGCACCACCTTTGCTAGCTGTGGAGGGCGCCCGAAGCAGCTAGCATTATATATTATATTTATTATATTATGATTTATCATATTAATGATATAAATTCTTAATATTATTTAATAATTTTTACTTTTGGTAATAATTACTTCCTGGTCCCATCTTAATTGAGCAACATTCTTTTGATTTTAAGCCGCAGATATAGGTAAATGAAATTTAATTCAATAATGCACAAATGAGTATGGAAGTAAAATAGGTAGATCAAAATAAGTCTAAAGGAAAATTTACTCACAGAAAAAATATCAACATGGATTCCAAAAATTAATAAGACCACAAAGGCTAGAATAAGCACATCGTCTTTGAACATATCTATGGATCAACACATACAATAATAAGACGCCAACCGAACGTTTCTGACTTTCTCCGAATATATGATGAAAGTTCGGTGCGAATAACCGAATGATCGGTTTCCGTGACTCTAAAAGTTCTTTAAAACCTTACCGAACTCGGTTGGTCGTGTGTTCCAAACGCCGTAATGACGTTTGGTTCAAAAAACCCAATACTTAGGTTTGTGCCACCGAACAACCGTATACCGAAGAGTTCGGTAAAAATCACTGAACTTTTTTTTCTTCAGTGCAATGATATCAGTAAGTGTTTATCCATGATGGGACCAAAAGATTCCAACTTTACATCAACTCTTTATCATGATGGTAAGAAAGTCCAAATTGATATCATCATGTTACCATATTCGTGCAGTGTCGTTAACAACATTTTTTTAATCATGTTTATATCATAGGTATTGGGACTTGCCATATTGCTAGCATGTTGGTATCATGTTGGTCTTTTACCCCAAGTTGATATCGCGTTGATACCATGTTTACATCATCTTGATACCAACATGGGCGTTTTAGACCCTGTTGGTAACAACATGGGCATTTTAGACCCTGTTGGTAACAACATAATCTCAACATGTTACCAACATGGTCATTTTTAGCAGGGCGACCCCACCTGGATTTTGCTGAATGTTTCATATTTTCAAAGGACTAGTCCTAGGTAGACTCTATGCCAAATATTTCACCGAACGGAGCCCATGCAAAGGTGCATAGCTGCGCCTCAAAACGAAAATCCTGGCATCGAAAAATAGTTATTTTGTCGACTTTTTCGACTGTTATCACTCTTCCAACAGATGATTCCTATGTATTTCTTTTGCGTACTTTCCGTTTCTGGTTTTTAAAAAGGGCCATAGAGTCTACCTAGGACTAGTACTTTGAAAATATGAAACATTCAGCAAAATCTAGGTGAGTTCGGAAAAGGCCCAACACGATACTCCTCCTTTGCTCGAAAAAAATCGTTAAGAACCATATCTTTCGACCCTGCTGGGCTCTCCTCAGAGCCACGAAAATATCCCTTCATGAAATAATTCTTGCAGCCTCCTTATCTACCCTTAAAAGAGTCTAAAATTTTAAGTCCCAATTTGCATGTGCTTGCCAATTCACCAAGAAAAATTGGCAAAAAATGTAAAATGGTGTTATTGCCGTGCTACTTGTCCGTCGGATGGACAAACACACTTCTTTATTTTTTATGGCCCGTTCCGCCGTACTTTTTTTTTGAGGCAGGATTTTTAGGATCGATAAACGCAAGAAAAATGCACGATATACTGCGACTTAAACTCCGATATTCTCCTCTCTGAAAGCATTACAAACGGTTTTTAAAGAGTAATGATTCGTAATTGGATTACATTTTGCAATAAGGAGCCACTATCTCTGGCTCTTCCATAGAAGCACGTATCTTCATAGGTAAATCAATGGCATATATGTTGTTTCTAAATTGAGCCAGAAATAGTGGTTCCTTCTTGCAAAATGTAATCCAATTAACGCATGCAAATTTTTATTAAAGGCAGAACGGGACGGAAAACGTAAGAATCCATATGAACGACGTCACAGTGGTGGTGGCACCCTCAGATGGCCTGCTTCAACTCCTCTCAGCCGGTAGCTCCTCTGATCTGCTGAATTTTGGCGCCAGCCTAAGCACCAACAGCCACCAACTGACCACTTCCGAATTCTCAACGAACATCGCCGGAGCGGGCGAAGGGAAACCAGGATTTGACTGTGACGCTGTGGGTAAATGCAGGCATGCGCAACAACCTGCACCTGGCAAGAGGTAAGTGCAGCTCTACCCTCTCACCGAATTTCACCAGCAGCCTGTAGGATCCGTAGGTATTATGAAAACGCAATCCATTCACTCTCCGAAGGGTTGCCTTGGAGACTGACGGAGTAACAGAAACGTAAACACGAATTAGTATTGCATCCTTAGTATTATTCTATTGAAAAAACCAATCGCATGCCCCCTCATTTTAATTAAGTCCTTAAGATGATTCCGCTGCGCTTAGGAGAACGACTTAATAATTGAAACGGCTTGAGCGAAAACCGCTAAATGTCCATTTTTTTCAATTTTGAGATTTTGGGGTTAAAATACTCTCGGAGGCCAGACACACTCATTAATGTGGTGAAAATGTTTGTTCTTTAGGTTTGAACCTCTTTTCAGGGAGGGGGGGGGCGTGGTCCAAATCATGCGAAACCCGCTACCCAAAGACATTGAATCACGTAGACCGTGCGTTCGGCTCGGTTTAGTACTGGCGGTAGGGGTGTTCAAACGAATTCTTGCCGTAACTCTTTCGATATCGTCTCTTATTGAAACTGGCGGCAGTACCGACAGTGGCGATGATATCGACAACAGCCGGCCTTATCGGATTTTTGAGAGCTCGCACTCAACGCATTGTTGCCCCTTGTGTCGGTTTATCAGATTGCCTGGCGCGGCGGCGCATGAAATAGATGTACACATGGCAACAGCTTATTTTCGCCAGCTCCGAAAACTCTGATCGCTATCGGCAAGAGCGCTCTTATCGTAACTTTTTATTAACGGAACAGTTTCGGTAGCTTACCGGCAACCGATAGAACAGCCCTACTCGGAGCCCCATGATGGGCGGGCGGGGAAGGGGAGAGAGCGTGTGTCGCAAGCACTCGAAGAGGCAATGGATAATTCATGCCCGCGCTCGGTTTTTCACGAATATCTCGTTTAGAGTCCATTTTCAGACAAAATTCCTAAGAAGAAAAGTTATAGAACACATAATTTTACACCCGATTAGCATTGTTTCATTTTCCCGAACTAATTATTAACCGAGGATAGAAGCCTCACAATCCGACAAAAATTCACTGGAGCCGCTAGGAGCCGCTACTACGCATGCGCAGATGTGCGCAACTGGGACACACGAACTCATCGATGCGAATCGGTGCCACCGCCACCACTCATCGCGTGCGAATTTTTAAAAGTTGCTTCGCCTTCCGTAACACAGGATGCACGGTCTGCGTGATTCAATGTCTTTGCCGCTAGGAATCCGTCGTGCTTTTTCTCCTCAGATTTTCGCAAAATAAAATGCCAGATTGACTGGACTAATAAAGCAAGACACTACCACGTGTCCAGGAAAATTTATAAAAATAAATTGCATGCCTGACAAATATACGTCAAATTTGCTCATTTTCCCAGGAGAAAGTCGCTTTGCCGGAGAACTGAGAGGTGAACGGGAAAATTAAGGTAATTTTCGGACTTAGCAGTTAAAAAGACATCGGTGATATTTTATCTCGTAGCTGGGAAAAATTCCTTCTACATTCTGCAGGGAGTAACAGACGGAAAAACACCAAAAATGGTCATTTTCCCGAGTAAAATTGGCTTTTTCGGAAATTTGGAGGGTGATGGAAAAAAAAATGGAAATCATATTCGGATTCAGCGCCTTAAAATACGTTAGAAGAATCTTATTTTCCCCAGGAGGCATACTTAAACATCTGCGTGTTCGATGTTTTAGAACCGTCCACGCACAAATCATGCGAAAACCGCTAATGTCAGTAGAAAAAAAATGCCGGTTTGAGCACACCCATCAGTGTTGTCAATGTTCACGTAAAAGGTCTCATTTATTCCCGTCCAACTTCATGCTGGGATGAATCCCATGAGTGCTCCAGTTTCCAACTGACGTTTCTCCTTTAAACAATCAGTCTTATGTTGATATGACCGTCGATATGTTTGTTGTTAATGAACTTAGAATCCCTGCGGATTCAATCTTTCGCGGATCCTTTTTACGAGGCACTGAACACAAATATAGTAATACTGCACGAACATGATTGATTTAATAATTAATGATTACACGAAAGAGAGTTTGTTTATCGCGGATTCACCGTCAAGATTTGTTGACGTTATTTCTGTTTAAATACACAGGGAAACTAGAGTCCCTTTATGCTGAGAGTCAAGACAAACCACCCCCCCCCCCCCGGTCATGTTGTCACAAACGGGAAATAAAGATTACATAAATTGGCAGTTTTTCGTAATCTTTGATCGGCTGATTCTCAAATTATTTTCTCCGTTCCTTCTCTCATTCCGTTTGTCCCTTGTCGAACCCGTTATTCCCCGGTCTATTCCAGATTATAATCTTTGCATCCGGTGAAAATGTAATCTTCATTCCCGTTTGTGACACTGGAGGCCTAAAATATGGGATTCAATCAGAAATGGATTCGCATTGTCTTGACCCTCAGTATAAAGGGACTCTAGGGGATACGGGCTAAGGAGGGAGCGCTCTCGGCGGGCGGATGGTGAACCATTTCCAGCGAGGGGATTCGATCGCCAACTTTGAAACTTGGGATCGATGCTAGGCAATATCCGTGTTATATTAAGACTATTGAAACATCGAATATTGATTCTATCCATCGAAGTAGGTTTTTAATTGCTTTTTACCGTGCTTAAGGAAGATTATAATTTTTAACCGTATCTGAATTATGATGTCAATAAATCCAATAGATTGTAATGAATCGCAGAAAAGCTATTTATTTTTAAGGATCACCGTCTTTACTAGGAGGCATCATTAATCAATTATTTAATTGAAGATGCCTCATAATATCGACAAGTCAATTCTGAATTTATGAATTCATTACATCGCGAAGAGATTTACGATAAAGTTTAGGTTTCCATAAAAATTTCATAACTACCATCGTTCGATCAAAATCCCAATCGAACTTTATGATTTTGTGAAATTGGCAGTATTTTTCTAAATATTCCAGTAAAAGCGACTATGCCGGCGTCGAGGCAGCTTTAGCGAGAAGGTCTTGTGCGATCCTCGCACCATGATGGGGGGCGAAGCCCCTTCCCTCCGTACACCGGCGCTATGCGCCGCGTATATTTTCAAAATTTGATTCTTCAAGTATGTAAAGGTGGTTCTTAGCTTCATTCTTGCCAAGTTTGAAGGAAATAGCTTCGACAGTTTTTTTGTAAAGTGTTGAGAGCGCGGGTGGCTCCCGGTGGTTTCTGCATCAGGAGGGGCTAACTGTCATTTTACGACCATAATCACGTTGGTAGCTGGAAACCATTTGTTGCATTGTGCATTTTTGGGCTATAAGCGACCGCACTAATATCACAGCTTGGAGCACAGGGGCTCTTAAGACTTTTACCACAGGTAATAATACCTGGGTGTGTCCTTGTGCTCTTCCGACGTGATCGGAGTTTTTGGGACTTCACCCGATTTCGGTGTTCCGCAGCAAAAACTTCAGGTAAAAATAAATTTTATTTTTGTAATAATTTACCCTGCTAAAAATGTCTCATGGGAATTTCACTCAGGCTGTTTTGGGTAGGGGAATAATTCCCCTGAGAAGTGGCTCGCATGAGAAGTGGCTTGCATGAGAAGTGGCTCCCATGGAAAGTGGCTCCCATGGGAAGCTTCCTAGTCCGTGCCCAAAATGCCGTCTCTACTATCAGAGCCATAGAAGAAAAAGATTAAGGATTAAACGCGAAAATTAATTCGTTCTGTTGCCGTGGCATGGTTGAGACATGAAAGAAATTCTTAGCCATTATGCAAACCTCCGCAGTGCGGTCATTCCCAAGCGGTCTCCCATCTAAGTTCTAACTACGCCCGACGTTACTTAACCGCCGTGATCGCCCGAATGCCGCTGCCTCGGAGCTCCGAAGGCTCGCGTGTTAATCGTGAGTAATTTAGCAAGCATAAACATCCCCAGCGCCGCGCCGCGCCGATTCCATGATGGAAAGCAACGATATTCTTGAAAACGTCTACATTACGCAGTTTTAAAGAAACAAAAATAATAAAAAATTAGGTCAATTTTTGGAAAGAAAGAAGTGAATAACACATGAATCAAAATAAAAAAAAAAGTATATGTGGTTATTAAAACAAAAAAAAAATAAATGAATGAAATTGAATGAAATAAAATAAAAAATGAATAAATACATAATATAAATTAACATAAATAAAATGAAGTAAAATAAACAAGAAAATCAAATAAATTAACCTCAAACAATAAATACATTGAATAGATTAAAATAAATAAATGAAAAAAATAAAATAAAAATATATTAATAATAATAAATAAATAAAATAAAATAAAGTAGATTAAAATAAATAATTCATAAGTTGAATAAAATGTATTTTCATAAATAAATAAAATATGAAGAAAAAAACACTAAGAAGTGGCCCGTAACCGAAATGGTGTGGACCCAGAACCATTTCTCCACCTTGTTACATTCAGGTTACGGGCCACTTCTTAGTGTTTTTTTCTTCATTTGTACGCACAGTTTGGGGACATGTGTTTTCTCCCGTTCGGGAGCGGGCGGTTGCGTCTAGATGCGTTCGCATCTCCAACCAGCCTGATTATTATTTTTTCGGGTTTTCCTTGTTTTGTTATGAGAGTTGTTCAGCAGCGACGGTAGATGGCGCGAGGATCACACTTTTGTGTCATGCCTCGGGTCATATCCATGACGGCGTTTTAATGCCGTCTTGGATTTTGCGGCATGTTAAGTTGGGTTCACTGCCGAGTGTGATCTACTGATGAGGTCTAAAAAGGCCCAAACTGGTATAGATCTCTCGACGTGACTCCAACTTAGTATTCCATTGCAAACTGCCTGAGCTGAACACTCTCCCTCCTCAGTCTCGTACTGGTGCGCATTAGAGTTCAAAAAATTATTTTTAACTCTAATTTTAATTTTTGGAACTTCTTGGCTTTGATTTCCCCACGAAATGGTGTGGACCCAGCACCATTTCTCCACATAAATAAAATCTGTTAAATTATTTAAATAAAATAGTCGTAGTGTATCGAATTCATTCAGCTCCAAAG